TGTCTCATTGAATTTGACGATTGCCTTTTTTGATTCTTTCTTCGTCTTTTTACCAAGACAGAACTCCTCTGATGGATTTTTGACTAGCTCCTTGTTATCTATCTGTAACAAGAAGCTCTTTTATTAGAGAAATATTACAAAATTCACTGAGAGAAAAAATTCAAATAAGGAAAATAAAATTCATCTAAATGATACTAATGAGAAACAAACTTCAGAGAAAATTGTATGGGCCAGAGAAAATTACAGACAAGGAGTTAATTTTATGAGGCAGAGAAAATTACAAACAAGGAACGTAATTTAGATATAAGAGAAAATCAATCAAGGCATATAAGTTAATGTTTTACTATAATTGTGTCAGAGAAATTTGGATTCTAGAGAAAATTCATTAGAAGGGTAGAAATAAACAGTATTAATCAAAGATGCAAGGCATATAAGTTATGAGCTAGAGAAAATTACACACAAGGAGAAACAATTTTATGGGCCAGAGAAAATTACGAAACAACCAACATAATTCAGATATTAGAGAAAATCAATCAGGACATATAAGTTAATGTGTTACAATTGTGGTCAGAGAAATTTGGATTGCAGAGAAAATTGATTACAATGGTAGAAATAAACCAGTGGTAACCAAAGAAGAAACATAAATTGATAGTTCAGAGAAAATTGATCTCAATCAATCTAGGCACAAGGAGGGAAACAAACTAGTGGTTAGAGAAATTTTGGAATTTCACTGAGATTTCAGTGGCGATAGAAATCTAACTTGTCGAGGTGCAAGAAAGTGGACTGGTGTCTTCTGCAGCTGTTTCGTCAAGCTTTGCAGGTTTCACTTGGCACATCTTGGGAAGTCAGTTGTGTTACTGTCTTCCGAGTCAATGATATTTGCATGTTCACATAGCTAATACTGTGATGAAAATTAAAATAATTAAATTTTGCTAAACATACAAATTTGTAAGTATGATAACTGCAAATTTGAATGGATATTATACTTACCAGCAATGCAATGATATAACTCGTAACTTTTTTTGGAGTTTTATGCAATGCTATGATAGAATCAATCAATGTTGATGTGATTGCTTCTGGCCAATCGTACTGTTTCATTGATTCAAGAGGTTCCACATACTTTATAAAAACCCACCCTATTGAATTCTCACTTGTTGCAAAAAATAGGGTGAGACACAAGTACAATGTAACAATGATTGCTACATCTTTGAAGTCAGTTGGTTGCTTGCCTTTCATTGTTTTGACCAAGGCATTTTTAAGAACAGGACCAGTGAGCCTTGTGTCCTTTTGCAATCTTCTCCTTAGGAATGCAGATTTTGACTTTTTAGAGCATCTTAATGACATGGCTCCTTTACTTCCTTGTAAACCAAAAATCAAAGTCATGTCACTGGTTGTAAAGGTCAAGTTCTTTTTACCAACTGTGAATGGTTTTGTTTTTTCATTGTAACATTAGATTATTGCAACTACATCATCATCAGATTTCCTAGATTTCCTTGGATCCATCCTTCCAGTGGTTAGAGCTTGGATCAAATACCAGAATGAAGTCTTTTGAAGCTATACAAGTTGGTTTGAATTGAATTTAAGTGTTTGAAAAAATGAGACAACAGATGAGAGGTTGGATCGGTATTGAATGCTGTAGTGAGCTCTCTTTCTTTGGAGTTTAACAGGTTTTTTCCCCCTTGAACTTGAGTTTGTTGAAGTTGGGGTACTCATCTTGATGCTAGTTGCTTCATCACCTTGGACTTGTGTGTTTTGGCAAGGAGTTTATGGTGTTTTGCTGCTGGTTTTTGATCTTAGATCATAAAAAGACCGAGAGAGTTTCTATTTCTTACTTGGTGTTTTCAGTTTTTTGCTGCTGGTTTTGATCTTAGATCATAAGAAGACTGAGAGAGTTTTTGTTTCTTGCTTGGTGTTTTCGGTGTTTTGCTGCTTTTACGTTTTGCCATTTCTAGACAATGATGAAAACATAAAGATGTCAACATTAAATCCCAGAGAAAATTGAACATGCCAGAGAAAATTGGACATGTCAGAGAAAATTACACATAAGGGGGAAAACTAAGGTGGCTAGGGAAAATTATAAATGTCAGACAAAATCAGACACTAAAAATTAAATTTTAGATTACTAATTGTTTTCCTGTGGAATACATCTAGCCACAGAAAATTTCCATTGCCAGAGAAAATCAACAAAGTATCATAAACATGGTAGAGAAATTTTTAATAATTGTTAAAATTACATATAGAAGTAAAATATGGCTAGAGAAAATTGAAAAGAAAAACATATATCTAGCAAGCACATAAAATGAAAGACAGAGAAAAGTAAACATGGCAACCCAAAGAAAATTTTCATTCCACAATTAGCAAGATAAAATAAACAAAGTAATGTAAACATGCCACTGAAAATTATTCCACATTGAAACCAAGAATTGAACAAAATAAACATACCAGAAAAAATTACACATTCCGGAGAAAATTACACATTCATGAGAAAATTTCCATTCCAGAGAAAATTTAAAGTCCATAATATTAAAATGCCAGAGAAATTTACATATACAACCAGAAAAAATTAAACATGATAGAGACACACAAGGGAGAAAAGTGATGTGGCCAGAGAAAATTATAACTTAGACACAGACAAGAGTAATAGACATTCCAGAGAAAAATACATATTCCACAACATCACAGAAACATGTTCAAGAATAAGATCAAAACACAGAGAAATAACTTTTTTTTAAAATAAACATGCTAGAGAAAATTCAAAGAAGAAACATACATTCCAGTCCATAATATTAAAATGCCAGAGAAATTTATATACACAACCAGAGAAAATTAAACATGATAGAAACACACAAGGGAGGAAAGTGATGTAGTCAGAGAAAATTATAAATACCAGAAAAACTTAGACAGAGACAAGAGAGTAATAGACATTCCAGAGAAAGATAGACATTCCAATTAAAAATACATATTATAGAGAAATTTACAGAGCAGAGAAATTTATAGACAAAATCACATAAACATGTTCAAGAATATGATGAAAACACAGAGAAAGCTTTTTTCAAAATAAACATGCCAGAAAAAATTGAAAGAAGAAACATACATCAAGCAAAAACCAGAGAAATTCAAATGCTAGAGAAAGTTGCAGATAAAATAACACAAACATGCTCAAGAATAAGTTCAAAACACACATAAATAACTTTTTCAAATTTATGTAGCTTTTTATTACGAAATTGAAACCCTAATTTATGGAAGGTTAATATAAAATGCAATTAACTGTGTTTCCAGAGAAAATCTAGTTGTATTGTAGAAAAACTTACTAGAGTTAGGATGAAACTTTAATGACGAGTTGATATGTCCTGAGATGCGACGTGACGAAGATGCGACGTGACGAAGATGAACTGAGATGACGATGAACAGTGAAAACGGGGTCAGAGAAATTTGTGAGGAAGGAATGAGAATGATTTTTGCAGAAGATAACGAAGCTCTAATGTTGATGGTGAAGATGATATTGAAACCCTAGTTCTGTTGTTCTCTTGTTCGTGAAGATGGTTAGATGCTTGGAATGGAACTCAGTCGTTGGAATCAGTTTCGTTTGTGTGTTGATTGTGTGAAGGGTATTTTGGTCCACGAAATAATTAAAAATGCGCGCCATGTTGTTCAGGGACCTGATACATCACTCTTTTTTTTTAGTGTCCTTTATCTTCTAAATTACTATTATTAGGGACCTTAAAAAAAATTCCCCAAACATTAAATATTAATATTCAAAAAAAAAAAATGTCCAACATGTAAAAAATAAAAAATAGAAAAAAATAAAACAGATAAAACTATGATTTTTACTTAACAAAAAATACAAAAATTAAACATTAATGTTAAAAAAAATGCCCAATATATAAAAAAATAGATACAAAAATAGTCCGGCGGACTATTTTTCTAACACCAAGGTCCCATTTGTTTTCAGAGGTAGAATGGAGGGGATTGATAGTACGAAGATTAATAATTAGGGGATTATTAGTGAGAAGATTGATAGTGAGAGGATTAAGTAAAATTGTGTTTGTTTTGATGATAGTTGTTAGTGTAGAGATTGTTAAATTATTTTTATATAAAATAAATATAAAATAATAAAACAAATAAAAAAATACAAAAACATTAAACATTAATGTTTTAAAAAAAATGACCAACGTATAAATTTTTTTTAAAAATTAAAAATAAAATAAAAAATTTTCAGAAAAAAATAAAACAAATAAAATAATAGATTTTTACTTTAACAAAAAATATAAAATTAAAACATTAATGTTAAAAAAAAATACCGACATGTAAAAAATAAAATAAAAATAATAAAAATAAAAAATTTCTAATCCGCTGGATTATTTTTCTAATACCAACTCCTGGAGGCCCATCTGAATCCCCTTGGGGAGGCCTATCCTAATCCGGAGCTCACTATCAATCCCCTCTCTATCTCTCAAACAAACACAATATTAGTGGATCCCACTTTACTACCAATCCAATCTCCCCTCTAACTCTCCAAACAAACGGGACCCAAATCCCATCCTAATACCTTCCCAAGGCCATCATAATATCAAGGGATTAGAAATTCCCTTTCCATTCTCAAAACAAACATAACATAGAGTGAGTCCCATTTTCATCTCAATCTTAATCCCAATGTCAACTAACCCCCTAAAACACTGTTACTATTTATATCTATATAATATTTTCTTATCATATATATCTTATAATTAAAAAATATGATATAATTTTAATTTTTTGAGTCATAATAAAAAAATATCATAAATAAATATAATATAATATATAATTAAAAATTTATGATTTATAATTAAAATAATATTATAATTAAAAAAGAAGATTAATTATAACTTAAAAAAAAGAAAAAAAAAAGAAAAGTATAGCCATAGTGCATATAAAATTTCCATTTATTCAAACATTAGAAGAGATCTGGGTAATTTATTCTTAATTTTTTTATTAAAAACAAAAAACTAACGAACAGGTCACCAATCCCAAACCCCACCCCAGACCGAACAAAAGTTTCCCAATTGTTTGGTTTCCGCCCGTAGTAGCCGACGTTCCGCCCCCGACACCACACACACACACACACGCTGCTGAAGCCTCAACCCTTCTTCTTCCACACAAACCTCTCTCTCTCTCTCTCTCTCTCTCAACCCAAAACCCTAATCTCAGAAAATGTTCCACAAATCTCTCAAACTGAACTGACATCAAACACTCACTCCCTCACTCAGTCTAACCACCATGCCTTACTCTTCAATCTTCATTCACAACTACCTCAGAACCTGCCCTTACCTCACCATCTCTCTCCGACAACCCAAACCCACCCTCCTCTCTCCACCACCCTCCTCTCTCCACCTCCGTCGCCGCTTCCATTTTTCCCCTAAAACCACCACTCTTCTCCGCCCCCAACCGCCGCCGCCGTCGCGGTTGTTCCACCCCGTCCGCTGCCCCCGCCTGAGTTCCGCCTTTGCTGTCTCTTGCTCGGCGGCTCCGACTGGTCGCTCTACTCTGGTTTTTAAGCAGCAGAGCGATGCTTGTTTTCCTAATTTTTATAATCAGAGCTCGTGGTATGGTCGGCTGGCCTACGATGAGTATGCTTCTGAGGATTCTGATGGGGAAATCGAGCCTCGGCAATTGGTAAGTTCTAATTCTAAAAACTTTAATTTTGTTGCTAGTCTTAAAGTTAGGCCAAATTGGGTTTTGGTTAAAAAATGGCTTTGCTTTGTTTGGTTGCTGAGAAAATGTGAGAAACAAAGGGGGTGTTTGTTACAACTTAAAAAATGTGATTATAGCTTATTTTAATTTGGGAGTTCTGTTCCAGATTATTTGATACAGCTTCTGCTTAAAAAAAAAAATAAAAAATAAAAAATTGATTATCTCGAAGCTGGGGATAAGTCTGATTATCAACTTTTACCTTCCAATAAGTTGTACCAAATAGGGCCAAAGAAGATGAATAGTCAAACATTTGGGATGCAGTAAATGTAAATTAACACTCCCATTTGAGTTTGCTGCAGTATTGGATACAAGAACAACTCAAATTCAAAATGTTGCTTTCGTTTAGTTTTATTTATTTTATTTTTGATAAGCTCTCTCCAATTCCTAGAAGAAACCAAAAACGAAAGAACCCCGTGAAAGGGTATGACACTGAAACACATAAATAAGATAACTAACATATCTTTATCCCATAATTCTCCTACATCTTTAAACTTGTCCAAAAAATAAGTATTGCATTTCTATCCAACCAAGTAACCCAAAGTACAGCACAAATGGTTACTAAGCAATCGATTGAAATCAGGTTGGCTTTCATTGCCAAAACATTGCTGTAGCTTCAAAGGCAATTTTTCAAAATTTCAGTTATGCATGTTTTGTGATATGGAAAGTATGTATATTAATCCATGACGCACAAGTGCGGGTGCGGGTGCGGGTGCAGGTATATTACGGGTATGCCGATATGACAAGACCTAAAAAAAATAGGATATAGGTACGGTTGGTGTACGTTAATAAATTTTTTATTTTTGATAATTTATAGTTTGAGATTTAATTTACAAATTACAATTCAATACCAAAACTAAAAAGATTTATTACAAAATCAAAAGAGAAATCATAGTTCAATAATACCAATACCAAAGCAAAGTCCATAACATAAGCTATTTTAACGCCATTAAATAGGAGGAAAATTACAAAACAAAGAGTCATTCCAAGAGCAAGCTAAGCAAAATTTGAAAACTTGAAATTTCAATTTTCACTTCCATCAATTTTATCATTAAATAATACATCTTTTATCTCTAACATATCAAGTAAAGAATTTGCAATTTCAAGGAAATCAGAACTCTTAATAAATTAAACATATCTCCGCCAATATCCAATAACTTGGTATACCCCGATGTACCCATTCCATACCCCACGAAGTACCTACGGAGTACCCAATTACCAAAGAATGTATAAAAAGTATCGGTATGTATTTCGAGTATGCGGTACGCATGCAGTCTTATCAGTATGAGTATGGCAACATTTTCGGAGTATCGTGCTTCAAAGTTATTAATTAACTAGAAGAAGGTACCACTTCAGGGCAGCCCATGTACATTAGCTATATAGAAGAAAAGGCCTATACAATCAATCTCTATGCCATAATATCCACGAAATCCAAAAAACTCTCAAAAGGGGGTTCCATCTCCCCTTTACCCATGATCACAAAAACGTTCATAAATCTTCTATTTGTATAAGCAAAAGAGAACTCAATTCCTTTGAAAGACTGCGTATTCTTGTCTCTCCATATACTCCACGTCAAGTAAAGCATAGCAGCATTCCAGGTTTTCCTTCTATGTTTGGGCAAAAGGTCCCCTTTCCAACTATGCAACAACATCTACTACTTTATGGAACACCCAACACACCCCAATGATGGGGAGGACCATAGGCCAATTATCCCTAATGCTGTGGCAGTGAACCAGAAGATAATCCACTGACTCTCCTTCCTCCTTGCACATGTAGCATAAATTAGGAATAATCTTTCTCATTTTGATCACTGGCTCGCCACCATTGATCACCCAAACCTTTCAGTTTTATATGTGATATATCATATATGTGCTTCATTTTAATTCCTTAGCTACAATCTCTAATGAGATTCTAATTCCTTAGTGCATGATATTTTAAAAAATTCTCTTGAGTGCTTGCCTTTTTGAATATGCTACTTCTTCTACATAGGAAAAGTATTTTCTGTAAGAACTCTTCCATATGATATGCTGTTGTTTTTCTGTTGTTGATTTGTGATCACCAGTGCGCTTCAACCCTTGATAACATTGAGGAGTGGAAGTGGAAGTTAACCATGCTTATGCGTGACAAAGATGAACAAGAAGTGGTGTCGAGGGAGAGAAAAGATAGACGTGATTTTGATCAACTCTCAGCAATGGCAACCAGAATGGGTTTATATAGGTACCCTAAACTTCTGTAACATTTGCATCATCTTGCTTTTTCCTTACCATTTACTTTGTGTTCTGAAATATATTTCTCTTTGGCAGCCGCCAGTATTCAAAAGTAATTGTTATAAGTAAGGTCCCACTGCCGAATTACAGATCTGATCTGGATGATAAGCGTCCACAGAGGGAGGTATTTTCTTGATGCCATGAACCCTGTGTCAGTAGATCCCTATTTGTGGCTGTGTTATGCTGAAATTGTTTCTTATAGAGCATAAATTACCCGAGGAAGAATATTTAGCAAGTTGGAATGAGGAGGAGGATTGTTGCTTGTTAAAACAATTGCAATCTGAGTCTGTTTCATAATCTTCAAATTTTAATTTCTTGTGTCAGTTCATCTCTTATAATTGACGAGTATTGTTGACAATTTTCAGGTTGTCTTACCTCTCGGGTTACAAAGAGAAGTAGACTCCCATCTTAGAGGATACATTTCTAGCAAGTCTGTCAACAAGGAAAACTTTTCAGATAATACCTTTTCTAGATCAAGCAGTAGCAGCAGTCTTGTTTCTGATGGAGTTCATGAGCAGGAGGAGCCTGTGATACGGAACAGCATTGCAGCAGAGAAGATCCTTCAGCGCAAAAGCTTGCAACTGCGCAATAGGCAACAACATTGGCAGGTTATTTCAACCAGACAAATTTATAAAATTACTCTCTTTTGCATTATTAGTGTATCTGATGGCACAATTGTTTTGTTTATTAATGAAAGCTTGAGTTTTGCATTTGGTGTGTCTTGGCAGAAATCAGTCGCATGTAGAGATATAGCTGTTGTTCAGTTTCACTTATTTCATACTTTCATTTTCTTCCGAGTTGACTTTTAGGAAAAAAGTTTGTGAATTTTTGGAAAATAGCACGATGTAATTTGGAATATACGGTCAATATTCTCTATGTAATAGAGGTGAGGATAGGTACTTGTTTTGTCTTGCTAATGATACCCTTCCGTCCCATGCCATTGCCGCCGTATCTATATCTGTGCTAATATATGAAAAATCTTAAGTGATTCGTGATTCGGTTCAAGATTTATTGTACTAGTTCCCAAACAATTAAAACTAACAATTTAAATCATCAAGCACGTACGAAAGTGATTTAGATTGTTGTTTCAAAAAACAATAAATCGACACAAACAATTTTTACGTGGAAAAATCACAATTGGAGCATCTCCAATTGTGATTAAAAAACTACGGGCGAAACGCCACAAATCAATCCATTATGAAGGAAAGAAAGAATACAAAACAACCAAACAAATTATCCAATTTCTGTCAATTTGTCTTTAACGATTTGTAGTTCTTCCACTGCAACCTTCGTCTCAGAATTGATTAGATTGATGTTGATTCCACAACATCCACGTTGACTCAACGACTGAGCACAGTTTCGAACACCTTTGAACACTCCACACTTGAATCTCCGGATTCCAGCGAAGAATAACACTTTTGAAGATAATCACTCAAACAACCCCTTTGATGTGAATTGACAAGCTATGTGAGTTTAATACTCAAGCAAACATCAAACGAAAACTAGTAAAATTGCCCCAGAAGAAAACCCTAGAGCTCTCAAAATAGATCTAAAAGCCTTAACCCTAAAACCAACTGAACCAAATATTTATAGAAAACAGGGGCCGCGAAGGTCGCTTGAGCGAAGAATCTCTCGTTCGAGCGATGAACCAATTACGTGTGAATTTCTTAAGTGGCGTTGCTCGAGCCAAGCTTCCTTCGCTTGAGCGCATAATCTTTTTTTCCGGTATATTTTAGACAAAGAAAATTCTGGGAGCACAACTTCTTCGCTCGAGTAAGCAAGGCAAAACAACCAGGAAACTTACAACTCGATAAACGATGTTTGTTCGTAGGATTGACAAAACTAAGGGACCTAACAATCTCTCCCTTTGTCAATTCCCGGACAAAACATTCTAAGACAATTTCCTTGCAAACACACGTACTAACTAAAGAAGCAACCAAAAAACAACTCATCTAAAACAATAGCCTTGATGAAATATCTTGCAAAAATATATAAACAATACCATGGGAATAGATAAAGTAACTAATCAAAATCCAAAACCATAGATAGAGTGATTAATCAAAAACAAATTATATCAAGACATAATGAATCCAATATCCCAAATTATCAAAACGGTATCACCCAAGACTATATACCCCAACCAACATGCAAACAGAGATATATCCCAACCATCATGCAAACCAGATATACACCATTTTTTTGGCCGGGAAAGACAAAAGAAAAAGAATATACAACCCAAACACAAGAAAAAAAAAACATCACTGCGAGTCTGGTGGAGGCTGCGGTTGCATCTTTAACAAAGAAAGGATTTGAGCAAGCATCGCGGTTTGTTGATCGAGGCTACCATCAAGTGTATCGTGCCGGGCATCCAGCTGATCAAGGTGACGTGTGACAGACTGCTCAAACTGCTGCAGCTGACCACGAAAGGAGCGAGGACGTATCTCGGGTGCATCGGTAGTGGCTGCATCAAAGTCGGCCTCCTTAGCAAGTGGATCATCATCTGCATCAGACATACCGACTCCCGACGAACCCTCCTTGACATGGGCTTGACTCAGTGAGACTATCAATTTGGTGATAGGTTTAATGGGAGAGGCAAACTCGTCATCATCAAAGGTGGGACACCAAGAGATGTAAGAAACCAATTAAGGAAACACCCATAAGGGATACCCAAAGACTTACGACTCTCAAACACACTAATCATTTTGGATACGATCATTTCAGACATGTTGATGGGAAGACGGTGGTCAATGCAATACAACACAACCCTGATCTTGGGTAATGTGAGAAGAATGAGAGGTAACATGAATGTTGGCACAAACTATGATATTTAGGAAATGGAAACAGGGAAGCAGCTCATTTTGTTGAATGAGAGCCCTGGCAACCCAAGTCCGGGGAGTGCCACAAAGTTCAGTGGTGACCATATCAAAATCAGCAAAGCTGCGGGTAAGAAACGGATAGTGACAGTCTCGGACTTTTGGAAGATTAAGAAACTGTTGAATGACTTCGTCATCAATGACTAGGGCTTTGTTACGAACCAAAGTGTGAAAAGAAGGGGTTATCGCCTTGCGAATGGAGTGCATATTGCAATAGAATTCTCGGACCTAGCTAAGATTTTGTGGACCGGAGAAAAGGACCTAGTCACCCCCTAAAGCATCAAACAGAGACCGGATCGGAATAGACTCAAAGGCACTAGGATGGACATTACGTTCTAAGTGAACTTTCCGAGAAACATAGAAATCCCGATAAAGGTTGGATTTTTCCTTGGATTGGAATTTGTCGGTATTAAAAGTGGGGCGAGACATAGTGGTTTTACGGCGTTTAAAGGACTTAGCCATGACTGACCGACAATAAGGAAAGACCAACACAACACCCCAATCCACCAAGACAGAACCAAGGAACACCCAATGCCCAATAGCAACCCCAAAAGTAAATATAAGAGCAAAGCACAAATCATTAGTGCAACAGGGTTAGGAAACTAAAATTCACAAAACCAAAGCATTGTATTAAATACTGTAAGATCAAGGAAATCATAGATACAGTTCTAGGTCAAGTCCCAAAATCAAATGAATGTAGTAGTAGAAAATAAGTGTTGTAGCAGGATGAGAGATATGAAGACAGTAGAATAAGGAAACCAATAGCAACACAATTCACTGAAAAATCATAAAACAACAATTGAAACTCATGGCAAAACAAGGGTAAGTCAAAAATTAAAGCCTTAAAAACAAAATCCTAACAATACGCATGAACCCTAGCAATGATGCATCAAACTTCTAAACAAAATTAAATAGAGACATAGCAAAACCATAAGGTCATAAACGAACCCAAGCAAACACACAGGACAATATTGTAAAACCCTAGAAATCTGAGGATGCAAGCCGAAAAAAACAACCAGACAAGGACAAACAGACGCAAAATAAGAAAGACAATAAAACAAACAAAACTCTAATGTTGGAGTGAAAAACCCAAAAATCAGCATTCGAGGAAGAGAGAGAGAACAGGGGAAACCACAAAAAAAATAAAAATAGAAGAAGAATCTCACCAGAAAATGGAGAAGGAGAAGCTTGATGGAGGAAAGGAACCCTTCAAATCCAAGGATCACCGAGGGACGAGCAGCAATGGGAAGGAAAATGCCCTAGGAGAGAGAAATTAAACGAGCAAAAAGGGGAAAAATGGATTGAAGGGACGGAGTGGGAGTATTTAAACCACGACAGGTCGCGAGAAGTGATTTGCTTGAGCTAAGACACTTATGCGCACGAACACGCTCGAGCCAGAACATTGTGGCTCGAGCCAGAAAAGCAAACTCTCAGAATCTGTGAAACCTAGAAAAGTACTGGGTTGAAGAATTTGTCGCTCGAGTGAAAACTCCCTCGATTGAGCGAATAAGAAAAAACAAGGCTCCCAAAACAAAACACCCTTCTGAGTAGAATAAAGACACTCACACTATCAAGTGGAACCTGGAACAAAAGGAGGTTAGCAAAATAGCAAAAATGTGATACTAAGATGAGATAATCCCAGTGTTTTTTAAGGCGAAAAGCGAACCAAGATGACAAGGTCTCCTAACGCCTAAGCGCGAGGCGACCACAAACAATATTTTTTAAAAATAAATAGTATAGACAAAAATATAAATATTTTCAAGAACCATCATGCATTTATCATTCCAAATACTAAGCCCATGTTTGGGAAGAAGGTTTTGTGGCTTTTTGACTAAAATAGCCACAAAAAACAAATTAGGCTTTTTAGCCCAATAAGACAAAATATCATATCCAACCTATAATCATTACATTCTTTTTCTCACAAAAAAATCAAAAAAGCCAAAAGTCCTTCCCAAACCAGGCTTTTTAGCCCTAGGCTAAAAAAGTCAAAAAGTCAAAAAACCAACCCACTTCCCAAATGAAGCCTAAATATCCATAAACAACAGAAAATATCCAACAAAGACAAATACAATCCAACAATCCAAAGGTTCTAAAAATCATCTTCAACATCAAGCAAATGAACTTTTTCATTATCATTGGCTTCATCATATCCCTCCGCATCTTCTTCCTCTCCCCCATCTGAAATTGGCTCTTCCTCATCAATAAGTTGTAATCTAGGTCTAGTTGTTGATTTTGAAGCTGAACGACCCCTTTCTATTGCCCTTGTTGATCTAGTTCTTTGGCTACTTTCCTCAACTCCAGTAGCTCTAGCAACATTATCTCATGTCAAAGTATCATCCTCAAAGACAAGTTCCTCCTCAATCCTCCCAACCAACCACTCGTTACTTTCATCAATATCTGTCAAAGCGATGGGATCAATTCACGGGAATTGTATCGACATCTCAATGCTCTATTATATTTTACAAATACCAAGTCATTCAGAAATTTTTGAGCTAACCTATTTCTCTTTTTGGTGTGAATCTACAAAAATTCAAACCAAATAAAAATATTCAAATTTTTATCTAGGTATTAATAAATTTATAGGTATTCATGTGTACTACATTTAAAAATAGGTACTCACATATTCAAACACACTCCAATTTCGCTCACATCTAGATGAACTACAAGTTAGACTAAGAATTTTGATGGCACATGTATGCAAATGTGGCGTTTCAGAATTATATGCACTCCACCAA